TTAGCAGCGTGAGTAGATAGTAATCCCATTTTATTGATGAGGAAACTGAGATTGACAGTTTTCTAACAGCACCCTTGGAGATACAAACATAGATTAGGTACATGTGCTTCCCTGAAAAGACACCATAGGCTAGGGGAGGACGTAAGACAGAAACAGGAATGCAAGTGTAAAGAAGTACAGTACAGATCTGAGAGTATATGAACATTCAGAGAAAGAGAGGTTAATGAGAAGTAATTTGTGAGGAGGAGGAAATCAGAGCAGGCTCTTTGGAGGCTGTGGCCCTGGCTCATCTTGGAACTGATAAAGTTGTAGAATTTCCTTTGAGGGTCTGAATGGAGGGCAGATGACTGTGGCCTTGCTGCTGTGCTCCCATTGGTTCCCTTTACTGGATTTTTCTAGTTTTATAACCCAGTCTGTGTAGCTTCCTTTGTGCTTTCAGTGTATCATATTTGTAATAAATTCTGTTTTTCTTTTGAGATCTTTCTGGCTCTTTAATAAAAATGCAGTTTGTCTTTGAATTTTGCAAATAAATGATTATTTTAACTTTTCTAGAATAAAAATTGCAATAAGCCTTTTGTCCACCAGGGAGATAAACCAGTAGACATGGAACTATCATACAGTTCATTTTTAGAGAGGTGGGTAATTTTTTTTAACTCTATCTAATTAGCTAAAAATAAACATCTGTACTATGGTGATTGTATTATTAAATCAAGGAGTATGAAGAAGGTTTCAATGACAGCAGGTTTATTTCTGGAACAAAAGAGACTTTAAGGAATGAAGCTATGACTGGCAGTCGGATAAAGAGCTGAACTCCATTAGGATGTGCGGCTGGCTTTTCTATTTCCCTACATCTGTCTTAGATTATTATATATAAACCTACTTTCAGAAAGCATCTGGTTCCTCAAGAAAGTTGTATGAAGATATGGAGAACTTTTATAAGTTGATAAGACTCAACAAAGTTGGCTTAAGTAGTGATCTTTTTTTGCAGTATACTATTTTTAGTAAAATGCAGTTTCTTATTTTCAAAATGCAGTGCATCTTTTAAAACAGATATAAGGGCCAAGAAATAATTTTCTTTGTCTCTTAGAATAGGTATTAAATTTAAAAGGCACATATTTTTTGACCTGCCAGATTCACATCTAGTAATGTGTTCTACATACGTATCAGCAGAATTGCACAAAAATATGTGAAAGGATGTTTGAAGTATTCTTTATGATGACCAAAAAAATGGAGATAATCTAAATGTCTGTTGGCACAGGGATGTTTAAATGAATTATGGTTCAGGCGCCTGGGTGGCTCAGATGGTTAAGTGTCTGCCTTCGGCTCAGGTCATGATCCCAGAGTCCTGGGATCGAGTCCCGCATCGGGCTCCCTGCTCCTTGGGAGCCTGCTTCTCCCTCTGCCTCTCTCTCTCTCTCTCATGAATAAATAAATAAAATCTTTAAAAAATAATAATAATAAATAAATGAATTATGGTTCGCCCCTATAACGGAATATTATGCTATCATGGAAAGAAGGAGATATTGATATGCAAAGATGTCAAGGTTACCTTAAGAAAAAAAATCAAGTGGCAGAACAGTGTGCACAGTGTAAACCCATTTGTGGACTGAAACAGATACCTGTGTATTTATGTATTTCCTTAAATATACCGTATAGACTCTTCCTGACATGGTACACAGAATCTGTCAAAAATGCTTGCTTTTCAGGAATCAGCTGCAGGCTGTACAATGTGTATGAAGGGAGTATTTTTTACTCTTCACCATGTGCATCCTGAATTCTTAGAAATGTTTCCATAAGCATTTATTATTTTTAAAATACTGGATAAAAAGTTATATAAACTCAAAATCCATTAAATTTTATTTATTTTAATAATTAATAAATCAATAAGTTCAATGTAATAACTTCATTACTTTAATTCATGGTTTAAATAATTATTGCCATATGGTGAATCCCTTAAAAAAGTCACAACACAAAAATTAATTCCCATCATTTAGAAGAATTACATATACCACCAGTTGAGAGCCTCAAAATTGGAATTCTAATAGCCCAACTGAAGAGATTTTATCCCCCTGTTGTTTATGCTTCTCTTGAAGTGTCATGGAAACATTTGATAATGAGTGAACCATATTGAGCTCCTCACTTCATTTGCAGTGTTAGGCTTTTGTGCAGATGGGTCTTGATCATATGCTGTTTTTGGATCCACTCCTATTTTTCAGAATCAGAAATTAGTGAAAGATTGTTTTTCATTATTTAATCATCTATTTAGTCCTGGTATATTGGACAGTTGTTTTAAAACATGAATTCTTTGTTCTTTTTATGATTTAATATAACATGTTTCCAAAGTTGGTATTTTAAGAAAATTTGAGTAATTTATAAAACATTTCTTATATACCTTTGCCTCTGACATGTTTTCCCCACTTACAGTGACTTGTCAACTTCCGTTGTTCCATAATCTGGTACCATAATTCTTGCTATTATCTTTTTTGTTTCTACTATGGTTATATCTGCTGTCCACTGTGAGTCTGAGACTTCAGAAGGAGATCTGATGGGGTTGGTTCGTCAGTAGAGGGAAATATTTTCACATTGAAATCTTACTCTATCCAAGTTACCTCATTGACTGTTGGCCCCTCATGTCTCTCTAATAGAAAGCTGGAGTGTTGATTTCTGGTCCAATTAGATGTTTCCAGGAAGGTCTTTTGAAACATAATGACCTCTAATTTAGAATCTAATCTTATGGACAATTCACCAGTCCCAACACCCCAACAGAGGATATTTTAAATTCTGTTAAATTTACTCCCAGCCCTTCTCAAAAAATAAAACAAAACCCCCAAAGAATCAGCCTGGGGGAAAGTTTAGATTTGCACTAAATCCCCATAGGTTCTAGGCCCAACTCATAAGTCGTGTAGGGGAAATGACACAGGCCTTGCATTTACATATTCACAAAAAGTTTGCATCCCTACTTGGCAACTTCCCAGGTGGGCAAGCTTGGCTCTTAGAGATTGTGACCTCCTATGTAGAAGAGAGAGAGCAATCTTTCTTTATAGGATTGATGTAAGGATTTAAGGCGATTGTGTATGTAAATCGAATAGAACAGTAATTAACACATAGTGATTTTTTGGTTTTTTTTAGAGAGCAAGGGAGAAAGTGCACAAGAGAGTGCATGAGTGAGTGTGTGAGCTGGTGGGGGAGGCGAGGAGGGGAAGGGCAGAGGGAGAGGGAGGATCTTATGCAGGCTCCACCTCAGCACAGAGCCCAAGGAGGGGGGAAGGGGGCGGGGGGAGGGTCTCCATCCCACGACCTTGAGATCATGGCCTGAGCCCCTGAGCTGAAATCAAGAGTAGGATGCTTAACTCACTGAGCCACCCAGGTGCCCTATACATAGTAGAGTAGTAGCCAACATTTATTGAGTGCTTACTAAGTGCCAAGCATTATTCTAAGCTCTTTATGCATTTTACCTCTTTTAATCGTCTGAATAACCTTGTGAAGTTGTTACTTCCATTTGACAGATGACACAGGCAGGTTCTGTAACTTGCTTCAGAATGCACAGCAAGTAAAGGAAGGAGCTGATAGCTCATGCTGTTAACACGTTCACCAAACCAGCCCCACCCAGAAAGTCAGTGTCTGGCTTTATTTCTGTGCTGAAGTCTGTGGTTTACTGGGTTACACCCCATCAGGCTTACAGGTGGAGTACCACCCTGTTCTTTCTTACCCTCCATCACATCCACCTGCAGTCCTCAGTTCATGATGCTCAGTGACTCCCTTGGGGATTTGGAGGTGTCACAGGATCAGAGCCCTTTTCACTGTTCTCTGCCACCTCCTCAGAACTGGGGTCCGCCCGATCCTGTAGGTTTATCTAATGAGAAACAGTAGTCACAGACCAGGCTGCTTTCTTGGAATTCCAGTGAAAAAACTGTCTTCAGCCTTGTTACATCCTGTTTGCTCCTGTTCTCTCCCCTCTTGTCAAGCACTGAATATTTGGGGTAGGATTCATCCGTAAGGCAGACTGGAAAATTGGCCACGTTTGCCCCTTTAAACCACCCATTCTATTAGTCCTTCCTATTTCACTCTTTCCTATCTCAGTGTGTCAGTTGAATTACCAGCTTTTAGCTTCTGAAGAAATAGGAGATCAGTGGGGGGAATGGAAAAGGCCATTTAGAACAATGCTTCTCAAACTTTAATGTGCATATGAATCACCAGGGACCTTGTTAAGATGCCGATTATGGTAAGTGGATAGGTAGGGCCTGCATTTCTGACCAGCTCCTGAGTCTCAGTATCCGCTGGTTTCTAGACCACACTCTGAGTGGCAAGTGTTTAAAGACTGAGGCACCACCCTGAGATGGCAGAGGATTTACCCTATTACCTCTTACAAGAACATTTAATCCAAAGAAATGAGTCTCATGGGAATTAATGTAACCAGCTGCCAGAAGAAACTTTGGAATTTCAAGCCCCACCCGGACTGCTTACTGGTAAAACCGTTCATGGTTGGAGAACAGAATAGTATAACTTTGTCAAGTTTTGATATAAATACTATAAAAATAAGCATTTTCCTCCCTCAGTTTAATTTAGTGACTCTCAAATGATTTATATACATTTTTACTTAGCTCATATGAAAGAGCATCATCTTGGTGCTGCTCAAGGTTGAGTTTCTCATGATGCGGGGTGGGGGGGGTGGAATAGAGGATTCAGCTGATCCTCATGCAGGGGCCACATGGGTTTTTCAGTATCTGTTTCTTTGTTCTTTCTCTCGTCACCTACATAAAAGCCAAGTTTAGTCAACTTTTATTTCCCCGGCTTTTGATTTGGAGTTGGCTCACCAGGAGTGTTTATGAATAATTCTGTTAGAACAGGTTTGATAACACTAATCTGAATAAGGAAATATTCTGCAGAGCTTTATATGTGGAGTTGTGGTGTGGGCAGAAACGTGTGAAATGATGCTGGTGATTCTCCTGGTGATTCTCCTCGTGATGGCTGAGGCTAATGCTCTCTGTTTCTGTTTCCAGGGAGGAGAACACTGCTACTACCAGGGCCACATCCGAGGAAATCCTACTTCATTTGTTGCATTGTCCACATGCCACGGACTTCAGTAAGTGTCCCCAGTTTTTTGTACCATCCCATTCTTTCAATCCCTTATTTCCGTTAGTTTTAATGCACTGTAATCAAAATCTTTATGTCAAGAAATAATTTTTTTTAAAGATTTTATTTATTTATTTTTTTGACACAGAGAGACAGCAAGAGAGGGAACACAAGCAGGGGGAGTGGGAGAGGGAGAAGCAGGCTTCCCATTGAGCAGGGAGCCCGATGTGGGGCTCAATCCCAGGACCCTGGGATCATGACCTGAGCCGAAGGCAGACGCTTAACGACTGAGCCACCCAGGCGCTCCAAGAAATAATTTTAAATCAGTGATAGGTCTGATCTTTCTCTCTTTTGAGGTTTATAAGCTGAGCAGATTTTGAAATTAGAGTCACAGAAACAGACCAGGGTCTTTGGAATTATGGTATGATACCCTACGGTGGTGTTTGAAGCTTTTTTGTAGTTTCATCCAAGTTGTGACAAGAGTGGTTTGGGTAATGTTGGTTCTCATCTACGGCCATACCACCCTGAACACGCCCGATCTCGTCTGATCTCGGAAGCTAAGCAGGGTCGGGCCTGGTTAGTACTTGGATGGGTAATGTGGGTTCTCTGGATGCTTAGCCCCTTGGTACCAGCTCTGCTCCTACTCCTTCCTGATGTTAGTTTTTATGTTTTTATGGAATAACAGAAATTTCAGTAGGTGGAAACTCTTGACTCCTTGCACAAAGACAACAGACTGTAAGTCACCTCAAGAGCTCATGTGTTCTAGCCGAATCCCACCTAAAACCCACAGCAAGCTTGTGGGAGGGTCCGTCTGTTCTCAGAAATCTCCAAGGAACGGAGTTCATCCTTTCTCGGGGCCTTGCTTCCTTTCTCATAACTTTCATTATCAAAGAATGTTTGCTGATGTTTAACTTGGGAATACACCTACTTCTTCCATTCTGTCGCTAATGGTGATACACAGGTGGCTGTCTCTTATTTATTTTGTGAACACCTTATAAAGCTGCCATGTCATTCCTCTGCATTCTACTTAGGTGAAATCATCTCAGTTGTTTCTTGTTTGTTTTACTTTTTGGGGCACAGAACAAGTCAGCATTTTAGTTTTGTTAAATTTTTGTTTGGAAACTTGGAAATGCATCCTGTCAGCTCCTAAGTTCGAGATCTGGCTTTTCCATGGAGCTAGCCGTTACTGAGTGTCTGCTGTGTGCCAGTCACTAGGAAAACCAAGGCCATGACACCCTGACTCCTGTCCCCGGCAGCTCAGAGTCCAGGGGGGCAGGTAAAGCTAGCTCAGCTTCCTACTAGGGAATGTGATAGGTGTATTTGTTTTCTTTGAGAGAGTAAGTAACAGGAAAATGCAAGAAGAGAGTGGGCACTGGGAAAGGAGGTAGTGCTTGAGGTCTCCAGAGAAATGTCACCTGAAGAAGCTAGAGTGGGCCCTAGAACAGGCTTTGATAAGAGTCTTCCAAGAGAGAGGGCTAGGCAGAGAGGTCTTCAAGAAAGCTAGGAAATAGAAATAATGGAACAGCCTGGAAAATCGAGCTAGTCTGCCTAAGTGGTGCCTCCAGTCAAGCTCGGGCAGTAAGTATGTCAGAGGCAGAAGGGAGAGAGTGTGGGAACTCTGAAACTTATGTAGCCAGAGGAAGGAGGCCAGGTGCCTGAGAGCGTGAAAGGCCTCCATCCGCTTATTGTTGGTTCTAAAAGACTTCTACTTATTTTAAATAAATTCTTTGACTAAGGAGACATTTTTACAAACAGGAATCCATGCCTCATATCTGAGGGCCTTGGTTTTCTTATCTGGAGAAGGAAACATTGACGTGCCCTTCAGTAATAAAACTGTTCTATCTGATCTCAAGATGATTGCAGCTTTCAGCTAAGAAGAGTACCCTGGGCCCATCGACATTTGTGACAGCAAATGTGTGATAGTGACAGAAAAAAGAAGAGACGTTTTTCCCTCTCTCTTCCTCTTAAAATCTCAACCCAAAGTTACCATGTAAGCATCTTGCCCAGGACGTAGTCCACTTTGCTTTCCAGTTTTCCAAACGGACACCATATTTGTGAGAAGGCATCCCTGCCCTCCAAGGGCTCTGGTAGACCTGAGAACCTGAGACCAAGAGCTTGCTACTCATCCTGCATAGGCATTTGAAGGAGGATGGAAAAGTAACTATAAGGAAACTTTAGTGACTAGATCAGGAGTAGAACCCAGAGCCAGCTTCAGTTGTTTTAACAAAGTAAAATTTACCTCTGCCTTGAGACACCTTTTCATTTAAAACTAAACAAAAGGAAACAAATAGAAAAATGCGCCATGTGTCTAGGAATACTGTCAGGATTGTATATAAGCATATTTGGGTATTCTTAGACTTTAATGAGTGTGTTGGATAAATTTACTCTTGTTCTTCTTGTTATTTATTAATTATTACTTCTTATATTGATTTTACCTTCTGAACAAAAATTGCTGACAGAAATATTTTAGAGGATATTACTAAATATTAAACAATTTATGTTGTCTCAATTACAGTGATTTGGATATGAAATAGATTATTTCATCCATGACTCATCTTTTATAAATTACCAAGTACATATGGAGATTTTTCATTTTCCTTGATTTACTGAATTCAGTTAAAGAACATAAAGGGAAAAAATCAGATTTCTATGTCTTTTCCATAAAGAACCTGCAAATGCACATTTTGTTTTTCAAATTCAAAGGACTAACGTGCAATATTTTAGTCCTGGTACCTTTGATGTTATGACAAAAATCCTGTAACTATGGAAACCTAAAAGAATGGAATCAAATGTAAGTTTATTGCCCTCTTGTGGCAATTTGTAAGAATGGCTATTTCTTTTCAAAATCTTGTTTTGATCCATCCTTTTAAAATTTCAGCTCAATTGGCCTATAATAAGTAGGTCCTAGCTACAGGTTTTTATCGAATATATGCTCTGTGTGGACTCACTGCACTTATTGGAATTTATATAAATACAACAGAAAGGTGTCAATCCTCAAACAAAGTTAAATAAAACATATACTTTTTAATAGTTAAAGAATTACTAATGGCACATTGTCATATAGGCAGCCAGAATCTTCTAGATACATATGGTGTCAGATTTTGCTTTCTTTACACTGTGTAATCATGATGTTTAAACCCAATAAAAGTGGGCGCCTGGGTGGCTCAGTTGGTTAAGCGACTGCCTTCGGCTCAGGTCATGATCCTGGAGTTCCTGGATGGAGTCCCGCATCGGGCTCCCTGCCCAGCAGGGAATCTGCTTCTCCCTCTGACCCTCCCCCCTCTCATGTGCTCGCTCTCTCTCTCATTCTGTCTCTCAAATAAATAAGTAAAATCTTTAAAAAAAAAAAACCCAATAAAAGTCACTGATTTTCACATTCGACACTGACCTAATGCAAGAGGAAATCATACCCTGTATTATTTAAACAAAATAATCTGCTTGCCGCTTAATCAGCATAGCCATGTGAACTTTGGCAAAAGGTGATGGTTCTGTACAATTTTCTAGATGAGTCTGGCCAGTTCTTAGCAGGGCAGAGAGAACGTCTACTGTTGTATTTGGTCTGCTGTTTTGAAAAGGCCCCCCCCAACTCTGATTCCTTAGGCATGTATTGTCAGTAATATTTTACAGAGTGCATCTGTTTATCTTTAAATTCCAAATGCAGTGTTGTCCAAATTCAAAAAGTGTACTTTGGTTGAAAATCTTACAGATGTGAGAGTAGCCGTTCTAAGGGTATATGAAAGTTGAGGACATGTGGAAGATGTTATAGCAGGAATGAAAGAATTTGGATAGAGGCAGAGCTGGAGGCCATTATAATTATAGCTCAGGGAAACCAACTGATTTCACTAAGCCCTCAGTGAAAGATAAATACTATTTTATGCCTAACAGTTTGGGTCTCAGGCAGTCATTTCCATAGAACACTGAAAAATGACTCCAGAAGATCCCACCTTGTCCCCACTCAAATGCCTGAATGATAAGACACATTTCTTTAGCATCACAAGGGGCTTGATCTCAGTAGAAGAACCGTGTTCTAAAAGGAGTGGCTGGGGCGCCTGGGTGGCTCAGTCCTTAAGCGTCTGCCTTCCGCTCAGGTCATGGTCCCGGGGTCCTGGGATCAAGCCCCGCATCGGGCTCCCTGCTCCGCGGGAAGCCTGCTTCTCCCTCTCCCGCTCCCCCTGCTTGTGTTCCCTCTCTCGCTGTGTCTCTCTCTATCAAATAAATAAAATCTTTAAAAAATAAAAAAATAAAATAAAAGGAGTGGCTCATTGGGATCTCTCTGGGTGGAGCTGAAGCCATATGTAGATTAAAATGCCCTCCAGAGGATTCCTCAATTGGCTGATAGTCATCTCCAGCCTAAGAGATCAAAAACCCAACTGCAGATTTATGCCCCCTCCCTGCGTCCTGCTTGCGTGTGCCTAGCCCATTCTGTCCTTCCTGCGGCTTTTCCCAATTTATTAACTGGGAATTCTCTCTCACCAGTTGCTCAGGTCAAAACCTTGGAGTCTTCACTGACATGACTCTTTCTTGCATACTCCATTTCAAATCTGCCAATAAATCCTCTTGGTTAGTCCTACTTCTGAAAAGCATCCAGAATTCAGCCGGTTCTCATCATCTCCACCAATACCACGATGATCTAGGCGGCTGCCCTCTTTTTTCACCTGGATTACCGAGATAACTTCTCCATTTCTATCCTTGCCATCCAAAAGAGTATTGTAACATAGCAGTTGGAGCAATTATTTTAAATTTAAGAGTGATTGTGTTTCCCTCTCCTTAAACCCCTGCAGTGGCTCCACGTGTCTCTCAGAGTAAAAGCCACCACCCTTAGAAGGCCTGCCTGCTGTGGTCCCCACTCTTCCTCTGATCTCCTTTTATGGCCCTCCCCTCATCCCCTTCCCAGCCACTCTGCATCCTTGATGTTCCTGGAGCACACTTAGGGCTCGAGTTTGACATGTTCTGTGCACAGATATCCTTATGGCTCATCCCTTCACTTCTTTCAGATCTTTTTGTTCAAGTGCCATCTTCTTTAGAAAGCCTTTCTCTAAGACTCTATATAAATCAACAGTCTTCTTTCCTTGGTCTCTACACCCAGTCCTCTGGTACCATTTATTGCCCTTAACCCTTTATTTTCTTCCCTAGAATTTTTCACCACCTCATATATATTTAGTTGTTGATGATTTTTTTTTTTTTTTGTCCGTCCACCCTAGAATGTACATCAGCACCATGAGGGCAGAGAATTGGTCTCTTTTGTCCACTGCTGTATCCCTAGCACCTAGAGCAGTGCATCGTAGGTGCTTAAATGTGTGCTGAATGAGTGAATGGGTGAAGAGGTAGCCAATTGCAGATGGGCAATTCAGGAACCAATCTGCCTGGCCTCTCTCTCTCCCTGCCCCTGTTCCTCCTGGTTATGTAATTTGGGCAAGTTACTTCATCTCTTTGGGCTTTGGTTTCCTTCCCTGTAAAATGAGTATAGGCAAATGTATGAGTGTAACTCCTTCACACATTTGTGGAAAAGATGAAATGAGTGTAAAGTTTTCAGCTCCTGGTAAGCTGTTGAAATGTGTCACCTCTTGTTACGAGAGCATCTTCTAGGTGTGTGGTAGGAAGGCAATTCTCAATAGAGCCCTCACAATCTGCATCAGAAGCGCCTGGGATTTGTTCAAAATGCAGCTTCCTGGGCCCTCGCCAAGAAATCTGAGGAAGGCCCTGAAAGTTTTACATTTTTGCAAGCTCTCCAGATGACTATTTGCATATTAAAGTTTTAGAATTATGTGTTGGAGGGAGGATAATGGACCACAATTATAGAATGATAATCCTGAACTTGGGGAAGGGTCAGAATTATGGGGAGTCAGAGGGAGGGGCCTTTCCCTCTTAGTGGTGTGTGTGTGTATGCACACGCATGTGTGGTATGGTACAGTGTGTATGCATATGTGGGGTATAGTTTTGGGGATGTGTGTGGTATGTAATCTGTATGCAGTGTGTGTGTGTGTGTGTGTGGTGTGGTATGTGGAGAGCGTGTGTGTGGTGTGGTGTGTGGATGTGTGGAGTGTGTGTGTGTGTGTGTGTGTGTGTATGGTATGTGGTGTGTATCTGGTGGTGATGGGTGGGACTGCGAAGTGAATGTTGAGAAGTAAATTAGTTCTCTGACAGCTGCTGATTTTAAAATGATCTTGTTCTGAGGCAAGAGTCAATAGCCATGCATAATTATTTTCTTGTCCTTGGCAGTGGGATGTTCTATGATGGGAACCACACCTATCTCATTGAACCAGAAGAAAATGACACCTCCCAAGTAAGTGCTCCTTCTGTTTTCTGTGGCAAATGTAAAAATTGTTATTGGGAGCTTTTCCCCTTCTTTTTTCCTCCTCTTTTTGTCTCTATTTTATTTTCTTATTTTTAGTCAGGATAATAAATATAAATATATCCATATATATAAAATTAAATACTAAGTCAAAATCACAAGTGGGTTTTTTTTTTTAAGTCTGTGTTTTACTCTGTATATTGGAAATACTTTCTGAGGTGTTCTGAAGCCTCCATTTTTGTTCTTTCTCCACCATAATGTGCTATGATTTGTCTTAGTTTGCTCAGGCAGTCATAACAACATAGTGGGGGGCTTAAACAACAGAAATTTATTTTCGCACAGTTCTGGTGACTGGAAGTCCAAGATCCAGGTGCTGGCAGGGTCTGTGTCTGTTGAGGGCTCTGTCCTTGGGTTGTGATGGCCTCCTCCCTGCTGTGTGCCCACATAGCAGAGAGACAGAGCTGTGGTGTCTCTTCTTTTTTTTTTTTTTTTAAAAGATTTATTTATTTATTTTGAGAGAGTGAGAATGAGAGAGAGAGAGAGTACATGAGAGGGGGGAGGGTTAGAGGGAGAAGCAGGCTCCCCGCCGAGCAGGGAGCCCGATGTGGGACTCGATCCTGGGACTCCAGGATCATGGCCTGAGCCGAAGGCAGTTGCTTAACCGACTGAGCCACCCAGGCGCCCTGTGGTGTCTCTTCTTATAAGGGCACCTGCCCCACCCCACCCTGAAGACCTATTTTAACCTTTATTGCCTTTTCATAGGTCCTGTCCAAATACAGTCACATTGGGAATGAGGGCCTAAACATATGAGTTTTGTGGGGGGACACAAACATTCAGTCTCTAACAGACCAACTCAATAGAAATGTTATTTTCCGCCTCTCTTTTCTAGATTTCAGATTTTTCTCTGTTGCCTGTTGTCTGTAGGGCCTTGTGCTGATGAAATGTAGGGAAATCTAAGTTTTCTTATTTCTCTCCTTCCTTTTAGTTGCAACATGCATTTTCCACAAATTAGAAAAGCATTGAGTTTATATTGTAGACTGCAGAGAAACATAATACACTTCCATCCTTGCTCTGTGCACACAGATATTCTTCCTTGTATTCAACATTGTTCACTTAGGCCAGTAATTTCTAAAAATATAGACTGTTTTGCCTCCCATAAAGGGAAGCCAATTATTTTTAGCTTTTTTTGTTGTTGTTGTTTTTATTTTTTTTTTTAAAGATTTTATTTATTTGACAGAGAGAGACTAGCAAGAGAGGGAACACAAACAGAGGGAGTGGGAGAGGGAGAAGCAGGCTTCCCGCTGGGAAGGAGCCCGATGAGGGGCTCAATCCCAGGACCCCAGGATCATGACCTGAGCCAAAGGCAGATGCTTAACTGACTGAGCCACCCACGTGCCTAGGGGAAGCTATTTGTATTGTATTGTATTTTCTAGATGCCTGTTGTTGACTTTTATATCACTTTGCCTGGACAGGTGAAGTTTTTTACAACAATATCATGAAACTTGACTGTTTATGACATTCTATTTTTTTTAATTGAAAGGAGCCAGAAATAATTACTTGAATGTTCATTAATTTTTCTTAGATGAAACATGGCTTTTTGTCTATTGGTTTGTCACAGAACTTGTATGACATTTGAATTTTGGAGCAAGGTCCATTTGGCCATCTACTTACGCCAGTCATCTTAACTCCCTGATATGAGACGAGTGTGAGCTCTGCAGTCTTTGCCTGGCAAAACTGTCTGGCTCTAAAAGTGGGTCAGGGATCCATGGAAAGGAACCAGTTATAAAAAGCATTAGTCCATTTTCCCAGATGTCTTACTTCTCCTTGGGGAAATAGGTTCATTCATTTATTTTCCATTACTACAGGCTTTGGCTTCTCTGTCTGCAGAGGCATTTTGTTTCTAATAGGTGCTGGGGGAATCTGGGAGCAGGAGAGGGTTGTGTGGTGGCCCATTGCCTTTTCAAATCCAGGAGAGTGCGTAGTCAGGCTGTGGTTATTTTAGGAGTCTCAGCTTCTTCAGCTCTCATTGCCTGAGACTGGAGATAACTGGTTGCCTGTGCTTAATCTTGGTTATTTGTGTTCTTTCAGGAGGATTTCCATTTTCATTCAGTTTTCAAGTCCAGACTGTTTGAATTTCCTTTGGATGATCTTTCATCTGGTATGATATTCATATTATAACTTTGAAAAAAAAGCCAACTTTAATAATTCTTTGAATGCTTTAGAGCTAATCTATATGTGGAATACCCTTAGCTTATGACCGCTCATAACGATTTTAGAGAGAAAGGGACGTCAAGTCAAGGACATCAAGAGGGAGAATAAAATGCAAACTGACTTCATGTTTGTAGTGGATGAGTTTGGAAAGATACAGCTTGAGCACACTGAAGAAGACTTTTTAAAATTAGAAAAAGAGCAAGGTATTTCTGAGTGGAGAAATAATGTTAGGGCAAAAATTGGTCTGCGTAGACAAAATATAGAAAACTTCACTTTCAGTGAGATACTGATTCTGTTAACACAGGAATGAACTTGTAATCATTTTCCTATTTGTTTTCCTCATCTCTTTTTGCCTCACCATTTTAAGAAAGAACGATTATAGATTAACACTTTTTATTATTTTTTAAAAAAGATCTATTTATTTATTTTAGAGAGGGGGAAGGGGCGTAAGGGGAGGGAGAGACAGAATCTCAAGCAGACTCCCCAATTAACACGGAGCCTGACACAGGGCTCGATCTCACAACCCTGAGATTTTGACCTGAGCTGACGCCAAGAGTCAAACCGTTAACCGGCTGCGCCACCCAGGTGCCCTAATGCTTTTTATTATGATGTGCTTTTTTTGTGAAATTAGTCTTTGCTTCTCATGTGTGTTTGTTTACATTTATTTATAGATCTTAGTTTGAGTTGCTTCCAAATCTTCACATGACAAGTAGGGCAGAGTACTTATACTTTGCTCGTTAGTGGAGCAGTGATTGTATGGAGTGCATTTGTCTTTGACTCTACAGGACTTACAGGTTTTCTCCTACTGAAGGTAGAACACACTCAGAATGTCTAATGTGGAGAAGCTTCCTTTCCTCCTTAATGAGCCCTGACCACGGCTATAGTACATTCTAATTTTTAATCTCATTTTTATCTTCACTATAGCTCTGTGAGATTGATAGAATTATTCACATTTTGTAGATGAAGAAACAGGCTCAGCCAGCCTGTCTTTTCCAGGGTCCGACAGCTAGTCTGGGACTGAGCAGGGTGTGGATCGTGCCAGCGTGAGAATGTGTGCTTGGAGAGAGGCACAGGGGAAATGGTAGAATCATCCGACTAAGAGCACATCCTTATAAACTACTGCTTAGGAAAACCACTCAAACGTTTACATTGTTGGGGTGCCTGGCTGGCTCAGTTGGAAGAGCATGTGACTCTTAATCTCAGGGTCATGAGTTCAAGCCCCACATTGGGTGTAGAGATTACCTAAGTAAAAACTTAAAAAAGAAAAATTTACATTGTTTCCTCATTGGAAAATGAAATGAGTGTTTGCTAAGGTCCCTTCTCTTGAGTAGATTTCTAACTCCTTGATCTTCTGCAGTTCTTCTGTCCTGCTGCAAAAGGGATAGAGGATCCTGTTTTACAGAACTCACTATTTTGAAAAATCTGCAAATAAGCATATAGATGCTCTTACTTTACACAGACACTTTAGGCTGTTCCTTCAGTTACCTTATGAAACTTTTTACAGTCCCTATTATGGAAGGAAAGTAAATCATGACTAGGTTCCTGAGAATAAAGCTACAATCTAATAGGTCTTATTGGAAGCAATGAACATTAATTAATATTTAAAGTAATAAATAAGGATCCCCATAAGGACTTTAATGTAATCCAATTGTACAATTTGTTTTTTAGAATGAAATGTTTTCCATCATAGTGGATTTTTTTTTTTTTTAAGATTTTATTTTAAAGTAATCTCTGTACTCAACGTGGGGCTTGAACCTACAGCACTGAGATCAAGAGTTGCACGCTCTACCAACTGAGCCAGCCAGGCGCCCCTAATCATACAATTTTTAAAAAAACTTTGTTCAGGGTTACTTTCCCACAGAAACTTTAAAGATGACTTGGCAGTTTTGCTGTAATTAAAATTAACTTTCAACATCTTCCAAAACTCAGGTCTGTCTCAGTTAGTTTCTGGTTTTCTTTTCTTGTCAGAAGTTGGCACTGTCAATTTTAAGAGTGTTATTTGTCTTTCTAGTTGCTTGGATTAATGATAAATTAGAAAATATTTCTTGTGAAATAAGCTCAAGAGTAAGCTTTTTTTATTTTAGATTTAATAAAGTTTTCCTGGGTCCTGGATTATCAATACCTTTGTCCTGCTATGCATTTTGTATTTCCTAGAGATAGAATATGATCAGATGTTCCCCAAACTTGTTTAACTTGTGGAACCTTTTGGTTTATATGACACATCTCTTAGGATTAGTGTCCCTAAGAAAACATTTGAGAAAAGTTTATTTATTTCCTACAGACCCCTTAGCACAGTCTGTTTTTAAAATTCCTACCAGGAAATATATAAATCTTGTATACCATTAGATGATTTGGCACACGTGCACTCCCTTGGTGAGATTTGGCACATTCCCATCATCCTGGTACCTTCCTTTGTGCCTCTTCCCAGTCAGCACCGCACACTTCTGCAATCCCTTTTCTGACTTTTAGGTTAGCCTGTTTTAGGTCTTCATGCAAATGGAATCACACATTGTGTTCAGCTTCTTTGGCTTAGCATGTGCCCAGGAGGTTAATGTTGTGAGAGGTGAGCAACAGTTCATTCTTCGTAATTACTGAGTATGTTCTGCTGTTTATTTATTTATTTTTTTTTAAGATTTTATTTATTTGACAGAGAGAGACACAGCGAGAGAGGGAACACAAGCAGGGGGAGTGGGAGAGGGAGAAGCAGGCTTCCCGCCGAGCAGGGAGCCCGATGCGGGGCTCGATCCCAGGACCCTGGGATCATGACCTGAGCCGAAGGCAGACGCTTAACGACTGAGCCACCCAGGTGCCCCTGTTCTGCTGTTTAAAGTTACCACAGTCTTTTATCCATTCTGTTGATGGACATTTGGGTTGTTTCCAGTTTTTGGCTATTATGAATAAAAGGACTCTAAACCTTCTTATAAAAATCTGTTTTGTGGACACGTGTTTATATTTCTTCTGTCAAATACCTGGCAGTGGAAATACCGGGTCTTAAGGTAGGTGTGTATTTGACTGTATAATAGTGTTTCTCAAACTGCGGAGTGTATCAGAGAATCACAGGCTGCTGGCTCCATGTCTAGAGGGCTTTTTCAAGCCCCTTAATTGAGATAACGGTTGACATTAGAGAAAAGCTGTACGTAATTAATGCATACAACTTGACGAGTTTGGAGATAAATGTACATCCATGAAGTCATCACCATAATCTATGCCATAAGCGTACCCATAACTCCAAAAGTTTCTTTCCACTGTCTTTATTATTGTTATTGTAGTATTAGTAGTAGTAGTGAAAAGAATACAATGTAAGATCTACACTGTTAACAAAATTTATATACACAATATAGTATTATTAATTCTGAGCACTCTGCTGTACAGGAGATCTTTAGGACTTATTCATCTTGTACAACTGAAACTTTGTGCCCTTCAACTAATACCTCCCTGCTTCCCACTTTTCTCAGCTCCTGGCACATATCATTCCACTTTCTGCTCCTAGGAGTTTGACTATTTCAGATTCCTCATACAAGTGGTATCATGTAGTATTTGTCCTTTTGTGTCTGGCTAGTTTCACTTAGTGTAATGTCCTCCAGGTTCATCCGTGTTGTCACAAATGGAAAGATTTCTTTTTTTTTTTTTAAGGCCAAATAATACTTTATTGCATATTCATACCACATTTTCTTTATCCATTCATCCACTTATGAATATTGAGGTTGTTTCTATATCTTGGCTATTGTGAATCATGCTGCAATGAACATGGGAGGACAGGTATGTCTTTGAGATCCTGATTTCAATTCCTTTGACTGTATACCCAGAAGTGGGATTGCAGGATCAAATGGTATTTCTATTTTAATTTTTTGAGAGGAACTTCCTCTCAAACTGGCTGTACCAGTTTCTAGAGTTTTTGATTCAGTACATCGTGGATGGGTTATGAGAATTTGCATTTCCCACAAGTCCCCAGGTAACGTTGATGTCTTTAGTTTTTGAATTGCACTCTGAGAACTCCGGTTGTATGAGAATTGCTGAAGCTTTTTCTTAAAGTGGTTATACCATTTGACACTCTCATCAGCACTATCTGAGAGATCTAGTTGTTTCACGTCTTCACCAGCACTTGGTGTGTCATTCTTTAATGAAGGTCAGTCTTGGAAGGCTAGATTGGCTATTCAGAAGATTCTTGATAAAGAATGTGGTGGTATTTATAGGAAAAATATGAGAAAAATTTGGAGATAAATTAAAATTTGGAGATAAATTTTTTAAATTGTATTCATTCATGATATATTTTATTTAGTATTCATATGAACACAATTTTTTTGATTAATGTTCTATATTATCTTTAAGTGTAACATACATTATAAAATTTATAACCATATAGTTATAATTATATAATTTGTAAGTTATGATTTATATTAATTATTAATAACTATAACAATTGCTAATAGTTAATAACTAAATTGAATATAATTATACAATTTATATGACGAAGGGATAGTAAAACTTTGCCCTGTCTGAAAGAAACCTGGCAAATGCACTAAATTCATTTATTTTTATTTCCTTTTAGAATTTCAACAAGTACACATCACTCCACCAAAATTTATTCTGAAGCCAAGACCAAAAAGAAGTAAACGGCAGGTATGTATTCACAGGTATATTCCATGACATTTTAAAAACACTTGGCAACTGCCAGTCGTTTAACTCTACATTAAGTCTCTGTAAGAGGGTTAAGTCTTAGTTCAGGCATTTGTCAGGGTGTGGTAAACAGTAAGATGACAGATCTGTAGGAGCTGTGGAGGGAGGTCATGTTGTTTTATAGACTCAAAAAGGACTCATGATAGTGTTGATAATATGGTTATTCATCATACAGGCAGATTACGGCCCTAGCTATGGCATCTCCGGTTCTTTCTATCATAGGCCTCTTTTCTTGCCTGGGTTGTATCACGTCATGGAGTCTACTTATAAAGATACCCCCTTGAGAGGGAATCCATCAGGTTTTAAAGCCACAGAATGCTCTTGTCACCCTTGAGCTACGTTGGAGTCTGGGATATAAACTCAGGATGTCCACTTTATGAATGTTCAGTGGATCTTGGACTTAGCAAAAATAATAAGTCCTTGTATCCTGCTTTACACCACATGAAGTGTAGGTACTGTTAATCCCCTTTCACAGGAAAAAAAAAATGATGTCTTTGAAATGTGAAAATGACCAGAAACGTAGAGCTGGGAAATGGTTGAGATAGAATAAGAACTCTAGTCATCACAATTCCATATGATATCTCTCATTTGTGGAGTCTAAGATGTATAAAATGAATAAACAAACAAAAAGCAGAATCAGATCTGTAAATACAGAGAACAAACTGGTGGTTGCCAGAGGGAAGTGAGTGGAGAGATGGGCAACATGGGTGAAGGACAGTGGGAGACACAGGCTTCCAGGTAGGGAATGAGTAAGTCGTGGGGGTAAAGGGCACAGCACAGGGAATAGTCAGTGATATTTTAGGAGTGTTGTCTGGTGAAAGATGGCAGCCACCCTTGCAGTGAGCACAGAATAACGTATGAAGTTGAATCACTAGGTTGTACACCTGAAACTAATGTAACATCGTGTGTCCAGTATACTCAAAAAAGAAAAGGAAACAACAGAACCCTGGTTATTAGAATTAAGATATCATGTATTATGTATGTGTGTTTGGCATAAAAAACACAGGGTGAGAGAAATGGATCTCTAGTAAGATTTCTAGTAAGAAACCAGTTATCTTCTGTTTAAAATATGCTCAATAAGTATGAAATAAAATAACTTTATAGGCACATTTCTAATGTGAATAATAATTGGTTTTTGTTTGTTTTATTGAGGCACAGGTATCTGTGCCTGGCTGTCTTCTAAAAATTTTAATTGTATTAACTCATTTAATCCTCATAACACTCTTATGAACAAGGTATTATTATTATCCCCATTTTACTGCTAAGGACATTGAAGCGTAAGAAGCTTAAGAACCTTGCCCAGGGTAATAGTGAGTTACCCAGTGGTGGAGTTCAGATTCTGACTTAGAATAAGTCTAGTCTCAGAGAAGTGCTTATAACTATATATGCTTTATACACGCCTCTCAGAAGGCTTTGGGTTCCATGAATTGCTACCAGGAGCTTTATGTATTTTGTGAATATACATATATATTGAGGCCCAGTTAAATAAATGAAGATTGCCAACAAGATTTAATTTGAAATAGTGTTTATTTTCATGAATTATGAGATCAGAGAATAGGATAATTTTATTTTTTCCTCAAATTTTTTATTTTTTTAATTAAGTTCAATTAATTAACCTATAATGTATTATTGGTTTCAGAGGTAGAGGTCAGTGATTCATCAGTCTTATATAACACCCAGTGCTCATTACATCACATGCCCTCCCCAATGTCCATCACCCAGTCACCCCACCCTCCAATGCCCTCCCCTCCAGCAACCCTGTTTGTTACCTACGATAAGAGTCTCCTATGGTTTGTCTCCCTCTCTGATTTCCTCTTGTTTAATTTTTCCCTCCCTTCCCCTATGATCCTCTGTTTTGTTTCTTAAATTCCACATACAAGTGAGATCATATGATAAGTGTGGCATAATGGAAAAAGTTAATTTTACAACTCTTGTTAAAGACTGTGTTATAGATGAACTGCAGGGAACCAAGGCATATGGCTGCCTTAGTTTCTCCTACCAGTAGCATCCACTAATCATGATTTTGAAGATGGAGAAAATTCGTTGTTGAACAGACAGATATAACATAGCTGTAATAGATAAATCAAAACTGCCTGGAAGCTCTCGAAACTATCTTAATAAAACTCTTATATCATTTGGGGGATCCCATGAACTGTACCAGAGGAAGAAATGGCATTCTCAATCCCAGATTTGGAGATTAGAGAATAAAAGTGTCCACTAGACACCCCCTGTATTCTCTCAGAGATCCTCAGAAGCTTAAATTAAACCAGAAAGAATGCACTTCATGTGTTACAATCTCCAAGATAAACTGGTAAATGAAAATAACCTGATTTTGCCTGATGCAAAAGCTAGTGAAATAGGGTGCCTGGGTGGCTCAGTTGCTTAAGCGACTGCCTTCGGCTCAGGTCAGGATCCTGGAGTCCCGGGATCGAGTCCCACATCGGGCTCCCTGCTCGGCAGGGAGTCTGCTTCTCCCTCTGATCTTCTTCCCTCTCGTGCTCTCTGTCTCTCATTCTCTCTCTCTCAATTAAATAAATAAAATCTTAAAAAAAAAAAAAAAAGCTAGTGGGCGCCTGGGTGGCTCAGTTGGTTAAGCGACTGCCTTCGGCTCAGGTCATGATCCTCGAGTCCCGCATCGGGCTCCCTGCTCAGCAGGGAGTCTGCTTCTCCCTCTGACCCTCTTACCTCTCGTGCTAGCTCTCATTCTCTCTCTCTGAAATAAATAAATAAAATCTTTAAAAAAAAAAAAAGCTAGTGAAATAAATAGAAGTACTAAATAAAATATATGTTATGTTTGATTTTATATCCATAAATATTTCTGGAAGAAACCAGTAACTGTGCTATACCCATTGTGGGGAGAAAGGTCAGCAACTAGGTAGATGGGGAACAGAAGTGAGAGGAAGAATTTGATCTTGAACCTCTTTCTAGTTCTTTATTTAATCTTTGAATCGTATGAATTTATTACCTGTTCAAAAATTGAGTAAAATTGACAAAAATGAAAAAAAATTCTGAAGGAATAAAAGTGGAAATGTTTATTTCTCTCATGTTTTAGTTTTTTAAATTAAAAACACTTTTTCCAGCCTTATTGTAGTATAATTAATTGACAAAATTGTTAAGATACTTGAAGTATACAATGGGATGATTATATGTGTGTGTATATATATATATATATATATATATATATA